CTGGATCATATCAATCGCATAGTGGATGTAAGCGGTGTTGCGGATTTCCGCATGATGAGGTTTTCATTTCTTATCAGTCACTTCGTCTCACCCGTCAGTGGGTGTCCGCCCCTCCCCCTACCACTTCTTGGAGCCAAGGTCCCACAGACCCTGCAACCTGCCCTACGAATTTGGTGGCCCTCCGCATCTAAGGTCCCTTATCAAATCTTATCATATGTTATTAGATTCTGTCACCCACCCCGTCCCTCCTGTATACCATCTCGGAACCACGGTCTCAATTCACTGCAGCCGATGTTAGGAATTGGGTGACCCTCCGCGTCTAAGGTCCCCTTATCAAATCTTATCAGGTGTTATCAGCTTCTGTCACACACCAATCATGTCCACCCCCTTTCCCCTACACCACTTCTCGAAATCAATGTCCCACGGTTGCTGCAACCTGCGCTAAGAATTTGGTGACACCCGCGTCTAGGGTCCCTTATCGGATCTTATCAGATGTTATCAGCTCCTGTCAGCCCCCATCTACGGCATATCACTGCTTGAAACCAAGGTCCTGCAACTGCTGCAATTTGCCACGAATTCGGTCACCCTCCCCCTTCTAAGGCCCTTATCGAAATCTGTATTCGGATTGTTGTCAGCCTCCTGTAGCCCCACTTTCCACCATAAGCTGTTCCGGTGCCCTGGGGAGCACCTCTTGGAACTCAGGTCCGTCGGTCGCCCTGGCCACCTGGCTTACTGAACCCTGGTGGAGCCTACGGCGTCTCAGGCCCCTTATCAATCCTACCTAGGCGTGTTAGGACCCGGATCCTGCCACCGCGACCAAAAAGTGATGCCAGTCCCTGACATGTAATAGACCACTTCTTGAAACCACGGTCCCGCAGCTGCTGCAACTTCCGCTACGATTTCGGTCACCCTCCTCTTTTAAGGCCCCTTATCGAATCTTATCAAGAGTTATCGCCTCCTCTGCACCCCACTCAAAGGAATAATGTTCCCTGGCCCCGCCCAACTATTATGATATCTTGGAAAGGAGCGGCGCAAGACGCCACTGGTTATACGCACGTATGAATTCGTACCGGGGCACACCGCACACAGACACACTTAGGCGGATTATAATATAGTAGGATATATATAATAATCAAATTAAGTAATTGAAAATATGACCGGTTTATTCGCTGAACTAATTCTCTTAGGTACCTTGTTTGGGCAGCTACGACGTATTTAGGGGAGGGCGTGGGGGGGGCGGGGTGTACGCGCTGCGCGCGAGTGAGACCATCACTCGCCATCTGCTCTTCGGCTTATCGCTTCAGCGAAATTGTGTTCGAAGCAAGCCGCATAGTGGTTGCTTTCGGCCGCATTCCGTAGATACTACAAGTGTGGACGTATGCTATGCGTAGATGAATTGTTATCTCTGGCGAGGTAGAATTGAAGAGCCGAATCTAGGGCAGGCCAAATTTATAAAATAAACAAAATTCACCGGGAAATTGTTGAGAAATCCTTCAGAAGCAGAAAACGAATGGACTTCGAGTAACAAGGTGAAGTGAATTGGTGAGATGATATGTGTCGTGAGTTCCTACGTTGTGGTGATATTGCCGTAACGTGAACCTATAGGAGAGTTTCTCTTTAGATTATCTGACAGCGTCACTGTTAGCGCAAACGATGGACTTCACCGGGCCGGAACTCCTCCCGTTGTAGTTAGAGGGCAAGATGATATTTTTCTATTCTTCAATTGAGTTTCCTTCGGGGAGATTGATCCGAGCGCAAACTGTTCTTGATTACCCGAACATATGCAGGGCCGGTGTTATAGTGCATGGTCCTAGAGAGAGAGTACTATCTATTTTAAACCTGAGGAGAGGCAGGAGAGCAGATGAGTCATCGCTTAGCCGCAGAGCAGCTGTTCTTCTTCTCTTCTTCTCGAGATATATCGCTTAGCGCAAGCGCCTTTCCGAAATGACTAACACTGGTTCAGCACACCATCTTGCTTCGACACAGAGAGGAGTTTGAAGCCCACACACTCAGCTTCCAAAACAACATTCAGCTCAAATCTCCCGCGTTGAATAATTGCTGCCTCTGCGACTGCGTATGAAACAGTCGATTTTACGACTTCGTCCCCATTGCCCTCTTTGCGGCGGAGTACAAAATTTTGTCGGATTGTCAGCGAATCGGCTCCGAAAACAAATGTTTGATCTTTTGTAGTCAACAATAACAGTCAACAACAAACAGGCAACAAAATTTTGTAGTTGATTCAAAAATCTTCCAGCCCACAACTGTTTCTTCGGACTTTTTAGCGTTACTGTATTAATATAGCTAGGTCGGTGTTATATCCATGTCCTAAACACAAATTACTTCTATTTTGCCGAGGGGTAGCAGAAGAGCAGATGAGTCATCGCACGCCGCGAGCCGCGTGGTCCCCCCAAATACGTTAGCACCATCGGCTCTCTGTATTCATAACCCTTACAAAGATCTTCGAAGGTCGTAACTGTTAAGACGACAATCTCAGTAGCGGTAGGACTGATATATAGGTCGCTGACCGCCCGCAACTTCTGTGTGGCTTTTTAGAACTCGGAAACACCTTCAATGTCTTTACAGCCTCCTGAAAAGCAGAAGAGAGCGACTATCGTTGCAGTGACGTAAGGTTGGGTAGTTTTTACCTCTTCTGCTGTTACATTCATGTGAGGAGGAGCAGGTTTCAAGGTTGGCAGATTTCGCGCTCCAGTCCACATTTTTTGAACCGAGCGCACGCGGGAGAATTGAACTGGCGGCGTCTATGAAATTTTTAGTTATGCTTATTTCGCTTCCGGCTAGAATCTGGTTCTAAGTTTTACTCGGTTAACGCACGTCATTCTTAGAATAACTCTCAGATAACTATCCTTGCTAGTTCAATAAACTAGGTCATTTTGGTTCCTATAAAGTTTTGTAAGCTTCAATAAAAACAACTTTCCCCCAGTTTTTTCCCGCGGTAGGTGGCATTTAGTGCTAAAAGGTATGTTGGCGATTGCTAGCCAAGGCTAAGGGTTTTTGGGCGCAGTTCCTCGACAAGGGGATCATTTTGCACTTTCCTTGGCTCTTTAGTTCGGTTTACAAGTCTCACTTGTGAAACGAACTCTCGTGAAGCTCTTGTGAAGCAAGTCGTCGACGCACCATGGTAAATGGCAGGTGGTCCCACAAACCTTGGCTGGTATCTCACATTCAAAATCGCCCCTTCAATGGCTTCTCTCGTCGATAGAAAGTAGCAAAAACGTATAACTTTCCTGCGTGAACGTGACGCCGGTCTCTGCCTAGAGGTTGAGGGTCAAGGGAGCTCCTAATTAACCCATTCGTGACAATGTCCGCCACTGGTGGTGGACACCGAAATGTCCACTTCGGACCATGTCCACCATATGTGGCGGACGGGCTTTTGATGAAATTTTTAGAAACAGTTCGAGTTCTTCGAGGAACTTTTCCCAGTGGTACAAGTCTTCATACCTTTGTTAATTTATGCAAATAGTGGACCAACGAGATCTTAGATGTAAGGGTCCCAGGCAGTTTCAACTAGCCGCTCGTTTTTTTCACCAAACTCCAGGAAACCTTACATACTAGGGCTTTTTGTTGGTCTGGTCACGAATATGACGTTCACTACAGGTCCCAGCGCCAACTGGCGCCAATTTGGTGCTATCACCTCTTCCACCCAACGATGGGAACTTGGATACTAGGGTTATTCGCTGTCCTTATTATTGATATGACATTCATTTTTAGCAGGAACGTTAGCGTAGGGCACAAGGGTTATCAATGCGATGCTGAGGCTGAGCTTGCCTTAGGAGGAGGGAATCACTCCTCCTCCAAGCTACAACATTTTTAGAGCGCTGCATGGCGCTCATGCAAAAAAAAGATAAAAGCCAACGTCTTATTTGTGATCCGGCTTCCCCCCCCCCCCCTCCAACCCCTCCCCCAATTGAGCTCGAATGCAGAACAGCTGCGACTTTAGCGAAAAAGGCGACGGCGAGTGCAGGTGGATCCTAGCGCCGATGCGCCGGTGAGAACTACAGGCACTGTCAGGTCTTCCTCAGACATCCGGAACCAAGCCAACTTTCGACCAACTTTCTTTCTATGTGGACAGACTTGGCTTAGCAGTCGTTTCCTGAGTTGGTTTGACCTTTTGAACACGAGTACCACTTCCGCTCGGCTCAAAACCTCCTTGCCACCAGGAGGTTTTGAGCCACCTCAATATGCAAGCTTACACGGGTTTTCGAGGGAAAGACTATAGCACTAAATTAGCGCACATTGGCGCCAAATGGCACCGGAGGACAGACGAATGTCATTTTTGTGACCTGAGGAATAACCCCTGCACTCGATGGTTCAGTAAAAAAGATTCATTTTGGGAGCAGGAAGGTTGAGCAGTGCAAAACTTTCAGTAGGGGGTCACGAGGGACCGTGTCCACCACTGGTGGCGGACACTTGCTGAGAGCTCGCAAATGCTCCGGTCCGAACGAGCCGTTTTCGAAAAACGCGCCTGGTCGCGAATGGGTTAACCATCGTAAGACTTTACGAAGGGGCTAGAACTAGTGCCCGAAATCGGAGATGTGACCGGATGGGCTGTTCAGGTGTTATCACCAGGGAAGTGCTCAAAGTGAAACCATTAGTATGAGAACATGAAATCGCGGATTTCTCAAGCAAATTGTTTCAAATTTCTCCGAGTCAGTATGCCATACTTCATTAGTTTACTTCGGTATAGGGTCTTCACCGAAAGCAGTCTCACGATAATCTCTAGGCTTTTCCTTTTTTACGAGAATCTGCTAAGACGTTAGAAAACGGTTGCAGGTGTTTTCAGGGCAGCTCTTTATGTATTTCAGTGAGGACTCTTTGAGGGCGACTTGAAGTAGTCCTGTGATAAAAGCTAGCAAGCTGCTAATGAACGGCGAAAATGCATACGTAAAAGTTCGAGGATTCCGGACAAGCAGGATCGCTGGCTTTGTGTGCTCGTTTTTTCTCCATGATTAAATGTCATTTTAATTCTGTGTCAGGACAAAATGACGCAGCTCGAGGTCTTGAATGAAGAACTCGAAAATCTTACCAGGGAAGCAGACTTACTGCTAGGAGAGGTTTGTTGTGTGTTTATACAGTACTTGTTATCATGAAAGTGTGCTTGCTGGATGAACTGGTAATAGTAATATTACTATCCGTAGACGTTTTTCTATTTTCCTGCTCCGTGAAAGCAGATGCGATTGCTCGTAGCTGACCAACCCCATAGTACCATGTTTACATGGATTTTTGCAGTTTTACAATTAGGTATTTTCTTATGTTCCGGCGCCGGTGATATTGTACTAAGCCGGTGTACAAACCTCATGCTACAGATTCAATCAAGTCTTTGCTTTTTGACATTTCATTGCTGCAGTACCGCACTTTCACAATTCCTTGACTTGTTCGTGCTATATGTAGTGTCATTTCACCATTCAAGATCGAGTTTCGCTTGGGTTCTTACGCTGCAGTTGTTAGTTTTGTTTAGAAGATCTTAGGAGATCTTCATAACACAGCGGCAGTAACACTCCTCGCCAGATATTTGATTTGATTTGATATTTACCGGAAGTATATTCACTACAGGTCTGGTGACTAAGTGGGGTTTATTGCAGGAATTTCGTCATTAATGCATAGTTGACGTTTTGTGTACTAATTTTCCGACAAGGACAGGGAGTTAGAGAAAATGTTACTTCAGTATGGCTGCGTTCATACATTGCGGCAGCATCCACCAGCGTCCTACGCCCATCAGCGTTTCGAGTGTCCGTCAGCGCCAGCGACTAGGAAAGTGTAGATATAGATCTAGCCAACGGCAGCGTCTACCAGCATCCACCAACTCTCGAGGGATTAGGGAACTGTAGGTGTCAATCTAGCGAAAACAAGCGTCCAGGAGCACCGTATTGTGCGGCTGCACACGCCACAGTTTCACGACGCCTGATGCAGCTGTCACTTCCCTCTTAGTTCCTCATACTGTCTACTCCTGGTCGCTGGTGACGGTAGACGCTGGTGTTTGCTAGGTATCCATACATTCGTAGTCCTTCGAGCTGAGTGGATGGCGGACTCTGATAGACGCTGCCGTTCGCTAGATCGATGTCTATATCTCGACTGCTGATGGTCGCTAGTCTACGCTGACGTCGCTGGCGGACCCTCTGAACGTTAATGGTCGCTCGTGATCGCTGGTGGATGCAGCCGTAAGGTATGAACGCAATCTAACACTTTTTATTGCTCAGTGAAGGTAACTGCAGTTCTACGCACGTGGTGGCAATCGAGCCAGGATGAAAATCGTCCAACAATCCGGAAACCCAGTAATCCTCGTTCTGTGACTCGCAGATCTTCGTCTATGCTCTTCTCTAGCCTCCGTGTTCTGTATGACAGATATGGGTTGGATTCTAATTGAACCTACCTAGTAAGCAGCGGCACTAAGTCATCAGGAACTAGCACTTTCGCGATTTTCTGGGCGCCTTCATCTTAGACTCAGACTATATTAGATCTTTTCCAAGGTTATTAAATGTCGTGCGTTCGTACCCCAGGATCTCGGCTGTAGATGAACAAGAGAGGAGTGCAGGAATAAGTTTATACGTACGGTGAGCTTTTGAGATTGTTCTGTATGGTTTGAAGCCTGTTCCATGGACCTTCTATTTTGGCAGTATGCTTTTCAGTTGGAGGCTCCTCTGAAATCAGCTCGACCGCTGGGAATCGATGTAGAGAAAATTAAAAGCGACGTAACACGGAGAGTAGAGGAATCTCAAGATTTAACAGAGATGAAGAGAACTTTGGAGGAACGAGCAATGCAGGTATCACTTTCTGACTATCTTCGACTTTCTTTCTTTCAAGGTCTATGATGTCGAAATCACTCCGCCGTATTCTTCCCCAGTTTGAAATAATCTGAAAATATTTTTGATAAAAATTTAGGCGGAGCCGCCGAGCTCTAAAATGGTGAATCTTGGCTGGCTTAAATACTAGTGAAAAGATGCTAAGCAGCACAAAAGTGGAGGAAAAAAACAGACGAAACCCACCCGAATCGCCTCACATGGAGTCGCGCTAATAGGGCATAAGACGATGCAAGGGCGTGGTGGCCGATCTCTCCTTGCTGTGTCAGTTTTTCTCCTGAAAGCAATGGTACTGTCACTCATAGTTCGGGTGTGCGTGACTGTCAGCCTCCCAGCTGTCGAAGTATCGGTTTCTTCGTCCTGACATGCGCACATGCGCAGGAATAAACAGGAAGGACCGTGAACG